AAGAAAGAAAGGTAGATGTGTCTTCTAGTTCTGCCTACAAAGAAGTAGACTTTCTTAGAGCCTATGATTCAAATATTTATTGAAATATGAAAGGAGACAGCTCCTTGGAAAGAAGAAAACAGTGACTGAAAATGGCAGCCCATAGTGCAGTTCTTAGCCATATCAGTTCTAAAAAATAGAGCAGCCTTAGTGGAAACACGTCCGGATTCAAATAAAAAGCTATACCAACATGTCATCTGAACCATCTGGATTGTTGACCTGGCAGGATCCCTGTGGCTAAACTGGGCAGATCAGGGAACCTTCTGGCTCCAGCAGGCCTTGTTCTGGCTCTTCTGTATTGCCGGCACTGGCCAGAAATGCTAACAAGGGGGAGTCAGCTGGTTCTTCTGGAGCCCTGCTTTTCCTTTGGTGTCCTTCAGTCCCCAACTCTGGCTGCAAAGGATTTCCCCAGAGGAAACCCTCAAAATAAGCCACTCAATTCACAGCTGTCAACAAGGACCACTATGTCCATTCCCCAAAGAGAAAAGCACCGCAACCTCTCATTCAAAGCTTCCTTACTAGACTGCCTACCTGGCCATACTAAACATGTGCCTGGCCCCCTCAGGTGTGCTTGCTCAGTCTTCATGGGCTCATTGTGGAGACTGTGCATTAACTTCATTTTATAGGAGAAGGATAAAAATCTCAGAGAACAAGGGCCATTGAGCCCACAAGCCTCTCACTTGAAGCCACCTGCTGAAGGGTGGAGAGAGGAGGCAAACTCCACCCCTGACGTGTGTAAATTTCATCTCACCATGCTTAAGGGGTATTGCTAAAAACTTTGTTAATCAACTCTACTCAAATACAAAAAAACTGAAAAAAACCCAAAAACCTCAGAGCAGGACTAGGTGTTTAGATTTCTATCATGTGTAATCAAGGAACACTGTGTTGTTGTTTTTTGTTTAATTTTGGAGGAGGAAATTATGAAAGAGGATTTGGAAATGATGTTCTGAAAAGGGGTTTTGATGTTCACTCTTCTGACAAATGCAAAGAGTGATGAAATCAGAGCAAGCAGCAGTTAAGACGTGAATCTGAAAGCGAGTGCAGAGACAGAGAAGGCTGAATGTGAAGGTGTGAGCAGGAGGCAAGGCAGGACCTGGTGATTGGTGGTACTGAGGGGGAACAGGAAACTGCGGCAAAACAGAGCAGTCAAAAATGACTGCAGATTTCTAGTTTAGGCCTGGACAGCTGTGAGAAGGCAGCGATCATGACCATAATCGTGTGACTTGACCTAAAGATGGCTGGAGAAAGGAAGTCTCTTTGGGAAAAATTCTTTTGGCCATAATCAGTGGTCCTTCCAGGCCTACTATGCTGTTCTTCCTGTTACCCAAGGGAAGCGACAATGAACAGGGAGCTACATATAACTGGTCTGGGCCAGAGACCAAAACAAAGATACCTTCCCTGTAAAATCACCTCCTCTTGGCAAGGCAAGAAGGATTTCTGAAGGACTTCTTTTTATTAAATTAATTTTTATTGGAATATAGTTGGTTACCAATGTTGTGTTAGTTTCTGCTGCATAGCAAGGTGAATCAATTATACACATACATATGTCCACTCTTCTTAAGATTCTTTTCCCATATACGTCATTATAGAGTATTGAGATGAGTTCCCTGTACTACACAATAGATTCCTATTAGTTGTCTATTTTATATATAGTAGTGTGTATATGTCGGGCTTCACTTGTGGCTCAGCTGGTAAAGAATCTGGCAATGCGGGAGACCTGGGTTTGATCCCTGGGTTGGGAAGATCTTCTGGAGAAGGAAAAGGCTACCCACTCCAGTATTCTGGCCAGGAGAATTCCATGCACTGTATATAGTCCATGGGGTCGCAAAGAGTCAGACACGACTGAGAGACTTCACTTTCACTTTTAGTTCTCTCAATCATAGAGAACCAGTCTTGTCTTAAGAAAGGGAGAAGCAGCAGCTGCTTGCTGCCAGCAGTCCCCAAATCTTTTTTTTGGCTTTGCTTTTTATTTTCTACATATCACTGAATATAATTAACACTGGTCACCTTGAATACATAGTTGTAACAAAGGAACAGACCTGAGACATCGCCAGCACTAGCCTAAGTAGAGCTGCCCCCTTTCTCTGCAGTTGTGGTTTACTACTTCCTGGGTTAGAAGGAATAACTGGGAGCTCTGCATGGATCAGACCCTTCAGGCAAGAACCAGTGTGTTAATAGTGTGAATTAGATATACTGACTACCTGCTCTGCTTAATTGCTATGAAACTGAACTAATCAGCAGTTATAAAGCACATACTTTGTTATGTGCTAGGCTCTGCCTCCTGGCCTGTAGATAATTTAAGAAGACCTAGGGAATACCATCAGATGTGCTAATTGTATTTGGGTGTTAACAAAAGCAGATCTAGACAAGCTGTCCACTTAAATGGTACCTTTTGGTCAGAAAAAATTTATTTAAAGATTGTGATCATGTAAAATTACTCAAACCTTCTAGCAAAAATATTTTTTGAAAAATAAACTAAATGCCTTTATAAATGTGTGTTCTTGTGTTGGATAACATGTACTGTTTGGTGAGTAGTAGTTTTTCCCAGTGGCATTCCAGTCATGACAAGGCTTATCTGAGTAGGCTCTAAGCAGCTCACTGTCCAGTGTAGCACTTTCTACAGTAATGGAAATGTTCTGTATTTGCATCCACTACAATAACCATTACCACAGGTAGGTATTGAGCATCTGAAATGTGTCTAATGTGACTGAGGAACAGTTTTAATTAGCTGCATGTAGCAAGAGACTACCATATTAGTAACTCTCAAATCAGAATGGACATGCAAATTCTGCACACCATTCAGATTCTCCCCCNTTAAGAGATTTGATTTAGGTCTTACCTAAACTCTTCCAACTTAAGTCTGACTTTTGCAATAAGGAGTTCATGATCTGAGCCACAGGATAGGTAAAGCTAAAATTTCACTAATTCTTTCTTTTGTCAGTGCTAAAATTTGCATCTTTTTAGTTCTCATATTACAACAATTATTACCATAGTCACACAGCTAGGTGCCCTCCAGGAATAAATTATGTCACAGAATAGGAAAGAAGTCAGGAGTTATCTTCTTTCGTATTTTATAATGCATTTAACTCCTTGGAGAGTCCAGAAAATATTTGTTTTGAATGTTTCTAATTTGTTAGTACTTTAAAAATCTGACTTAATCAGGCCTTCAAAATAACCACATAAATTAATGTTGTTGTTTAGTTGCTCAGTCATGTCTGATTCTTTAGAGACCCAAGAACTGTAGCCAACCAGACTCCTCTGTTCACGGGATTTCCCAGGCAAAAATACTGGCATGGGTTGCACTTTTCTCCTGCAGGGGATCTTCCTGACCCAGGGGTCAAACCCGAGTCTTCTTCATTGCAGGCGGATTCTTTACCATTGAGCCACCAGGGAAGCCCTACGTAACAGCTATTACCTAATTCTAAACTGAATCACAACTCCAAAAGACATGTGTTATTAAAACAGATTCTAGGTAATCAGTGATATATCTCCACTCTCATAAAAGTAAACACTAAAAGGAAAAAATAAAGAGAAAAACGGACAAGACAAAGCTTTGTTATTTTATTATTCTAATTTAATTTCCAGGTAAAATGCCCTTCTGTTATACTTCAAGATTTAAAATCTAGCCAATTTTCAAAGTTTACAAAATTATTTTTATTTTAAGAACCAATAATTTGCCAATGAGATTAATGTGTTTATTACTACCTAGAGACTTCAAAGAGTCTTATTTTTGATTTGTAACAAAAACTTCTCTATCCTTCTGGATAATGGCTTGGGATTCCGCATTTTTATATGGCCTAGATTCTACATTTTTATATTATAACAAGATCTTTGATTTGCATATGCTTTGATAGCCATATTAGAACATTTTGCACATCCAATGTCTTCCTGTTCCTTAATTTGGCACTTGTTCTATAAAACAATTTTGAAAATGCAAATTACTTTACATTAAAAATATAAATTCTTATGGCATATTTTATACAATCTTCAAGCACTGACTTCTAAAGCTATAATTTATTATTACATTTTAATTTATCTGATTTATGTGTGTGCCTGAGTGAATATTCCAATTATTTGCAAACTCAATTAAGCTTTGTCTTGATAAATTTTTACTTTTTGACAGATTATGCTACACTTGTGTAGAAAACTACATTCCTAGTATATTGTTCATTCATTTGATATATTTGCAAAATGGAAATTCATCCATTTTCCAAAAAGACTGAGATATTTTCAGTCCAGGAGGTATACTGGGAAGTGAGATCTTTCCAAGTTTGTACTTGAAAAAATGTCAGTTCCCTAAAGTGCTCAACGTTTAGTTATTTTGAATAGACATGGTAAGTCAAACATTTATTCCAGGACATTACAACTTCATCGAGTTTGAATACACTTTCACTCAATAATAATCATATTTTATATATTTTATAGAGATGATTTTAAAGTGTATCTTTATACAACTGATGAAGATAGTTATGTTGCATAGTTTGTTATTTGAACTGAACATGTAGGAAATGTTCTGTCACAGAAATCTTGGAGAATTGCTTTGAAAGGAATGGTACCAGTACTAAATTAATTTACACACAAATCCCTTTTCATATTGGTTCATGCAGAATGAAGATACAGTTATGAGATTTCATGTATCCTGAGACTTCATGTATCCTTAACACTTATTTCCTTGACTCTAAAAAGATAAAAATTGCAAGTTGTGTTCATGTCTGATACCGTATTTAGACCTTAAATTATGTCTTCTCATTTAGTTAAAATTCAAAAGAAGAAAATGGGTGTGTCGTAAGAAAGGACTCTTCCACCAAACTTCCAGTGTAGACTAGGACCGTACAGTCAATGATGGTGTCTAACATTTATTATATGATATATTTCTAAGAGAAGGCAATGCATCACAGCAAAGAACAAAAGCAGCTGCATTCTGCTTCAGCTCGAGCAACAGGAATGGGAAAAGTACTCACGTTCCACAAAGTAAGAGCTGGCATCAATCTTCCAAATGATCTGGCCCCGATGAGAGCCATTCACTCCACGGTTCTTATAGTCCAGGAAGTTTTCTGACAAGACCTCATCTATATTCCCAGGAAAGGGAGAAAGCAGAGTAGAGGAACATATTAGCTAACAGAATTTTTAGAAAAAAATTAAAAATTTGCATTTCTTTGATAATGAGTGATGTTGAGCATCTTTTCATGTGTTTTTTAGCCATCTGTATGTCTTCTTTGGAGAAATGTCTGTTTAGATCTTTGGCCCACTTTTTGATTGGGTCATTTATTTTTCTGGCATTGAGCTGCAGGAGTTGCTTGTATATTTTTTGAGATTAATCNGTTCTAATGAGATGGATGAAACTGGAGCCCATTATACAGAGTGAAGTAAGCCAGAAAGATAAACACCAATATAGTATACTAACGCATATATGTGGAATTTAGAAAGATGGTAACGATAACCCTACATGTAAGACAGAAAAAGAGACACAGATGTATAGAACAGACTTTTGTCCACATCAGTGGAAAATACTCAAGTGGGTTGCCATTTCCTACTCCAGGGGATATTTGTGACCCAAGGATCGAACCTGTCCCTCTGATATTGACAGGCAGATTCTTTGTTACATCTGGCTGGTTCTTGAATGCTTCAGAAACAGAGAAATCATTGCTTCTCTGGCAGTTCATTTCCCTTTTGAATAGTTCTTACATGTGTAGAATCTCAGTGCAAAAATCTTTCTCCTAATGCTTTCATTAACTGGTCCCTATTTGGGTCTGAGAATGAGGCATAAAGAAGACATCTAAGCACACTTATTATCTGGGGCCCAGTTCCCATGGGCTCCATCTTTTATCATCTCTTCTCCAATCTGGATACCCATCATCATCTAATACTTGGGACCCATCCATGAATTTATCCATCCATCTATCCATCCATCCATCCATTCTTCATGCAGTCATGTATTCATCTGTTCATTCAACAGATACTTATTGAGATCCACCCATCTGCCATGCTGGGAAAGTGCAGGGGCCATGGTGTTGAGCAAAACCTTTCTGAACTAAAACTTGCAAACAATTGAAGAAACAGATTTTATACCAAGTAAAGAAATAAATGCATTATTACAGCTTGCAACAGGGGAGGGGAAGGAAAAGAACAGAGTGCTCTGACAAGAAGCTACAGGAAGGGAGGGCAACAGGAGGTTGAGGGACAGATGAGGGGTGAGAAAGCACCACCAGGGTAGAGATGGAGGATGGAGTGAGGTCTCCATGTGGTGTCCAAGCCTGGAGCGGGCAGAGTCTGCTCGTGGAAGCACTGAGAGGAGCTGGGGGCGGGGGAGACTGTGCTTTTTCCCTCCTGCCCTTCCTCTGCTTGTCATACTGTAACCCATCAATGTCCTTCTTAAAGCTGGTGTCCAGAGAGCAAGGCAGCATCCTTGGAGAGGACAGATCCATAAAGACGTAACCAACTGCTTCTTCCTTGGTTCCAGACATTATGTTCTCAGCACAAAAACAGTAATATAAATTTCACCTTAATCTTTTATGGGGCCCTTGCAGTTTCCACTTTACCAGAAAGTAATCAGTGGAACTAAATGGATCTGGAGCTGTAAGAAATCCATGTTTTGAGACTGAAAATCCATCACAGTGGCTGGGGAAACAACCAGAACTCAGGGGTTTCCGAGAACAGACCCAGAACTTGGATTCTGCAGAAAGGGGCTAGGTCATGGTAGCTATTTTGGCAACTGAGGTTCACTCTGTGCATCTGGCCAGAATAGGGAAACAGGGATGAAGTGAAAAGAGCAGAGCTTGTGGCTAAGGGACCCAGCTCCAAGGACCTGTGTGTCATTTACCAATAGTGTCATTTCTACAGCTGCGGGTTCTCACCTATAAGGGGGCAGGTGATGACTGGGGCCTCGCTGGGGAGGATTACATGAGCCCACCGGTAAACATGCCTGTGACCTAAGTCAACTGCACATTTTCAGCTGCCTCTTCCTTGGCAAAGACAATCAGGCGGAGCAGCATCGTCTCTGCCTCATTAATAGCAGAAACTGTTTGTATCCCTTGGAAAATCACTTGTTTGCAAAATTTGTCTGTCTTTGTAATCACTGTGTATGCTCACAGCCCTGTTTGGGTTACTAAGATGATTGCATAATATGTCTTTTACAGTAATTGCCTCATTTCTGCAAAAAAAAAAAAAAAAATAGGCATAATATTTCCCTAGTTCCCTGGGTCTTCAGTACCTGGATAGAATTTGCCTCATTATGGCAATTCTCCAAGGAGAGGTATTTTCCTGAATTTATCCACTCTGATCACCAGAATAGTCACTTTAATAGTTATGGTCATGTATCCACATAGAATAACACCTAGAAAGGGAGTGATCCTACATGCATTAGGTAAACATGTATTGAGTATTTGCTCCACTCACCGTGCTACACCCTTGGGATATACTGCTGAACAAGACAGAGCCTATGTTCTCAGGAAGTTCCTAATAGATTTGAGGAATTTTTTTTTTTTTCAAGAACACAGGCAATTTCTTTAGAAGGCTGTGGGTATAAGAATGGGCTAAATATTGAACCACAAGGGAACAAGTGAAAAAAGGATGGGGGTGAGTAGGTGGGAAAATCAGAAAAGGCTGCAGAGAATGGTAACAACACACATTTTAAAGAGAGAAAGACACATTCCACTGTACAGGTTAAACACATATTAAGAGATTGCCAGTTGATCCTGATGAGCATCCCATTCCCTTACAGTAACTGTAACACTTCATAGCAAGTACCACACAAGAGAAAGAAAAGTCTGTATCCTTGCCCAGACCATCTGTGCTGAGTGGTCAGCTCCCTTCCCCAAGGCATGTACTGCCAACTGTCAGAAGTTACTAGTCTTTGCTTGGGAATCCAGGTGTACTGTCAGGATCAGATGCAGGAAAACAGAATCAGACCAGATATTTTATGCAGTAGGGACTTAATGCAGAGAATTAGGTATTAGAAAGATCGAGGCACAGCTGCAGCAACTGCCTCTCCACCTGCAGTAAGAGTGACTAGCCAGTGGCAAGCTGAGTAGGTTATTGCCACTACTACATGGCTGCCTGCTGACACCCAGGAAGCGAGGGAGGGGATGCTAGGGCATTGTCACAGAAAAGCTTAATTTTTCAGAGTCATGCTTGTGGCAGCCACAGACTTAACATCAGGAGGAACCACCCAGCTCACTTCTGCCTTCCCAAAGATGCACAGGTGCATCTACATGAAGGGAGCAAATTTGCACCTGGAAAATGGTTGCACAGGAGCCTGGGGAATGTAACTTTTAGAGACCAGGGTCTACACTAGAGGAAGGCACTGGAGAATAGAAGAGGACTGGGATGGAGGAGGCCAAGCTATGCCCTCCACCACCACACTGAGGAATGGCAGCCTCCCTGGTTTCCTACAACCAACCGAGGTTCTTTTTTCTGCATCCTTTGTTGGGGTGCAAATCTTTGTGGAAGTGTTTACTTGATTACAGGGATATCTACAGCTGCCTTGAGGCAAGTATTTAGACCATTACTAGCTACTTGAGCTTAGGCATTATATTTAATCCCTCTGTGTCCTTGCTTCCTCACTACAAAAGGAGGATAATATTAATTCCAACCTCAAAGTCCGCTGTGAGGAATAAATGAGCTAACAACAGAGGTAATGGTCTAAGAACAGTGTCAGGCATCTAACAAGCAGCTATTTGTATTTATAGTCTGGGCTAAAAATAGAGCCCTTTATGGCAAAGCTCCATGATACTTAATGTGCAAAATCATTAATAATAGTCTGCAACATTAGCTCGTGAAAGTGAAGTTGCTCAGTCATGTCCAACTCTTTGCAACCCCATGGACTGTGTAGCCCACCAGGGTCCTCCGTCCATGGAATTTTCCAGGCAAGAATACTGGAGTGGGTTGCCATTTCCTTCTCCAGGGGATCTTCCCGACCCAGGGATCAAACCTGGGTCCTCCACATTGCAGGCAGACGCTTTACCATCTGAGCCACCAGGGAAGCCTCTGAAACATTAGTTTAGGCTAGTACTATTAAAATTTTTCTCATCACTCATTTTGTACAAAACATATAGAGGTATATTAGGTTTCTCAAAAAAAGACTGCATTTGCTGGTTGATACTTATTTCTTCTAGTATGAAGCATCATACCTCCTGCTCCACAATTTATTACAGAAAAAAGACCCTTGCAAGTTATTAAAATTTTGATCAGAAAGTTCCAGTGAAGCTTACAGAAAGAAGCACATCTAAGAAACAAGGACTGCATTTGTCTTCAAAATGCTTTGTCTTCTAAATGAAAACTGTAGCTATGCTTCTGACATTCTAATCTATAAAAGAAGAATATATTATCACTGTTAAGAACAGAATGGGCAAGGGAGCACAGAATAAAGGGAAGTTGATCTACTCCCTAAGCCTAGCAGAAAAAATATAGCGTAGCTTCCATTTCCCCGAAGAACTCACATCTTCTGATAATCAACCTCGGAAAAGTCTCCAAGGTCCTCCCACCATCACTAGACTATGAGTTTACTAAATAGTAGGCCAGGAGGTCTGGGAGACTCTACTTGCCTTTCACACTACTAAGCGAAGGTTGTAGTTCTCTCCTCTCGTTCCAGGAAGGGAATCTGAGGATAAAGGATGGGGGAGGCCCTAAAAATAAATGCCACTCTTTTTTCCTGTAACTTTTCCCTCAGATTGTTTCTTTGAAACAGTATTCTAACTGGTTGTACCAAAATTGGGAAGCATAGCTTCAACTCTTTGTTTTGGCTGTGTCGTGTGGCATGTGGGATCTTAGTTCCTCAACCATGGGTCGAACCCGTGCTCCCTGCATTGGAAGCACAGAGTCTTGACCACTGGGCTTCAAGGGAAGTCCCCCCTTCAGCTCTTCTATATTCTAATAGATTGCCTGCTATAAAAAACTTAAAATATAAAGAATATAAAAAGAAAAACTTAAAAAATAAAACTCTATGAAAGAAAAAGTGCTTTAAGAGCTGATGTCCATAGGAAGCATTCTGGGAGTTTCTGTGTGCAGATGTCTAGTTAAAGAGACAATTTTGGCTTTCATCTTAAAACTTTACATTTTAAGTCTCAGCACA